GGAGAGGCGGAAGGAGGTTCAAGATTAATCGTTGGTCTTTTTCCCTTCTTTTGTTCTTCTTCCTCCCCTCTCTCCCCCTCTTTCCCCGTCTGCTCCTTCTTCTCCTCCTCCTTCTCCTCCCCAGCCCCCAACCCCTTTCCTTTCATCCATCATTTAGCACACCTTCAGGGCTGCCTACGTGCTAGGCTTCAGATTAGCCCTCTGAATGGGATACATGAGCCAGATACATGAGCCAGGGCCTGGTCCTTAGGAGCTTGATTTCCAGTAGCAACGAGAGCATGTCCATAGCGATCAGCAGAGAAGAAAGCAAATGAATTTCTGTGAGGCACACAGGTGTTGGGTAGTACTTGAATGACCCTGGGAGTGAGCCCCGGTCTAAATTTTGTGCCCTTAGGTGCCTCACCTCACCCCAGTCTCTGCCCTTCACCCCTCCCAGTCCAGGTAACTCTCATGGACTGTTGGGCTGGACCAGGGGTTTTCATACTGCATGCTCAGAGCCCCAGGGTACATGGAGGTGCTGCAGATAGGGTGCTAGGTCCCATCCTGCCCCCAGTGGGAGAGAGTAGAAGGGACATCCCTGAGTTGCACCCTCAGCCTTTATGTCCTCCGAGTCGACAAAGTTCGTCTTAGGTTTTTGAACTTTACGCCCTTTACATGAAACCCTTCCTTTGGGCCATAATGGATCCGGAGCCAGGAGTTCTGGCTTGGCTCTACCATACCTCCCAGGAAGACTTGAAGAAGGAGAAAAGCAGAACTTCTGGAATTAACATAACTCTAGAACCCCAGAGCTACAAGGGTGATAATGAAGTCCAAACCTTCTTTCAACCCCAACCCCAGCTACAGATTGGGAGCCCAAGCCCCCAGGGGAGTGCCTTGCCTGTCCCCCGCCAGAGTGGGTCGGCTGGCCGAGGTGAGGGGTTCAGGGAGGAAAACCTCCCAGGACATTTGCAGCCTCCTAGGTGACTGCAGAGTACCCATTTGCAGAGCCACCCAAGTGGGTTAAGCAGCTGCTGAGGGCCCCACATGGTGCCACACGCGTCACCCCAGGGTACTACAAAGAAGGTTTGGCAGTGTATTGGGGTGCTGAGGCACCCAGCAAAGAAATCACTGGTGAGCATTGCAGAACCGTGGGCCCGGATGGTGAAAGGGCCCGGATGGTGAAACAGACTAGGGCTTCGTGTACATGACCCTCTGCCCCTTCTCCTGTGTTTCTTCCCTTTCCTCTTTCCTCCTCCTTCTCTCTCATTCCCCCTTGTTCTTCCCATGTCTCACTTTTTCTCTTGCGTCTTCTTTTCTCTCCCTTAGAACAAGAAGACCGGGCTGGGACTCGGGACACCTGAGTCCTCTCTATTCCCTCACTGGCATCCCTCACTCGCAGGCTCACTTCTCTGCCCGGGGACTCAGTTTCCCCGAACCATCAAGGAGACGCCCACAGCGAGATGACTGCTCAGGTCTCCTCCAGCTCTGCTCCCGGTGCTGGTAAAGACAGTGTTTTGGGGGCTGTTGAAGAGGTCCCTATCTCTAAGATTTCTAGAGGCTCCATCCCCTCGGCCAACGTTTTGATCTAGAGCTTCGAGATCAAAGCTTCACTTTCCAGAAACTTTACTAACTATTAATTGTCTGCAGGTCCTTTTCCAGTCTTGTCTCTCCTCCAAAGATGTGAGAGTGAATTCAGCAGCTCGAGGCCCTGCAGCCGCCCCTCCCCACCCATGTGCTGGGGCCCTCCAGACGGCTAAACGTTCCCTGCGGGCTGGACATCCTGGGGGGTCTGAGGACTTCTGTTCAAACAGGTCCCTCAGGCAGAGCGACCAAGACTCCCTTACCCACCTGTTGGGGATTCCACCTAGAACTCCGAACCACAGTGTAGCAGTATTTCAATTTGTTGATTTCTCCAGTCCAAATACATAGTTTTCTGCAAATAATTACTGCTGCCCTCTGCCACTCCATGTTAGGGAGGAAAAATCAAAGATAACAGCTTGAGGGGTTTCTAGGAGGGGAGTAATGACCCACTGCTGCCATTTCTGCCCTGGGAAGGGGTGGGTGACAGGGCCCGCTGCCCCTCTCTGCGCCCGTGGGGTCACTGACCCGATGTCTCTGGGCAGCTCGGGTCTGGGAAGCCCGGTGTGAGAACCAGAACGGGTGGCCACGACAACCCGGGTGAGCACGAAAGCTTCAGCGTGCTGGGATTTCTGGGCCAGCTTCAGGACTGAGGAAGACTCGGATGGACACAGATTTTTTTTTCCGCCATGGCTTTGAGTCTCTCTCTCTCTCTCTCTAAGGCCTTAGGCAAGCCATTTGACCTCAGTTTCCCTGCCAGTAAAATGGGGTTTATAACACACCTTTCTAAGGGTGCCTGTTAAGAATAATTGGCCATGCTCTGACCAGTGTAGCTCAGTTGGTTGGGTGTGGTCCCACAAAGCGAAAGGTCACCAGTTCAATTCCCGGTCAGGGCACATTTCTGGGTTGCAGGTTCTGTCCCTAATTGGGGCACGTACAATAGGTAACCAACTGATGTTTCTTTCTCACATCAATGTTTCTCTCCTTTTCTTTCTCCCTTTCTCACAATATATAAATAAAATCTTTGAACAAAGGAAAAGAATTGGCCAGCTCTTGTAGGGTACTTTGAAGAAAATTGCTGTGAAGATGTTTGCCTGGCCCTGCAAATGTTCCTTGGTGCAAATATCAAACAGATGAGAATGGCCAAAACTCCGATTCCGGCCCTCCCAGCTGAATCACACCACTCAGCTCAGCTGGAAGGGAGGACGGCAGGGGATGGGTTGTGAGTGCAGCCTGGGTCTGCCTGGATTAACATTAAAGGCACAGCCCTGCCTTTGATGCCTGCCTGAAACGCTTGTTAATTTTAATAGGAAGCAAGAAGAGGCGGGAAGGTCCTGCCTAGCAGAAGAAAACAAGTCAAGGCCAAGGAGGGTTGGTGCCAACCCAGTTTGGAACTTGTTTGGCTTTGAAGTCCTCGGCCCCAGTGCCAGAGTCACAGGACAACTCCCAGATGCCAGCAGGGTAAGTGTGGACAGGTGTCTGGGGAAAGTGTGGACTTCAGGCTCCTCAGTTCCCAGTTCAGCCAGGAGCAGGTGGCCCTTGACTCAGTCTGGGATTCAATTTAGGGTCAATAATCTCCCAAGCTGGTGAATATCCTGGGAAACTTCAAATAGGGGTCTCTCATGTAAGTGACCTAAGGGGCAAGGTGGTGAATGTGTAAGAGTGAAGTAAGCTGATGGTAGGTAATAGGGAATGGTGGGGACTGTGGCAAACCGAGTAAGCCCCAACTGAACGGTGAGATTGGGAAGTGAGGGTCAAATTTTGTCAGTTCTTCCAATTTTAGAAGAGAAAGTTAAAGCCTGGATTGTGAAATATTCTAATTTTGAACACTGATCAGATTTGTTTAGTTGTTTATTATTTTAAAATACTCTCCCCATGGACAACTAATGCATCCATAGACCAGAGAAGCCCACAGCTTCCTCATTGGCAACCTCCTGATTTAAAATCCTAAAGCTTCAGGAGCACAGAATCTCTTAAAATTCACCAAGGCCTTTGGTTACTATTTTTTAGAGACTTCAGGCTGACCCTTGGCTGAGGGCATCAGAATGACCCAGTGAGAAATTCTCAAAAACAAGCCCTTTAGAAATTCTGACTCAGTGGGCTGGGAGGAGGATCCAGGAAGAGCCCCATCTTTTTTTAAAACTCCTCAGGTGACTGACTCCCAGGTTTGGGAACCAGTGACCTCATCCATTCCTCTCAGTGATTTGTAATCTTTTTGAGTCAAAACCCCTTTTGAGAAGCTGAAGAAAGCTATTACATTTTCCCTGGGGAAAAAAACACGCTGATGCATGTTTGTCCAGCAGAAAGAAAGAACTCCAGGGTCACGAGGAAAATTTGTGTTTGTTGTGCAAATGGAATGAATGCCTTGAAGAAAGTTGGGACCACCTGCTGGCCCAGAAGTCCAATGGTCGCACAGGGTGTTTTCTGAGACCGAAGGAACACAGACTTCTCCCTGGGTTCCCCACAGCTCCCTCCCCGATTCCCCAGCTGCATAAAAACTCCCTACTTTTGTTCCTGGGGGAGAGCAGATTTGAGAGATGGTGCTCGCCCTTCCTCTTGCTTTGGCCAAATTGAATAAACCTTTTTCGATCTCTAAGCTCTGATGTTTTAGTGATTGGCTTTGTCTGCCCATTGAACTCGTGAACTTGAATTTTGAGAGATGGTTTAGTGACAGTCTCCTTAGAGGGAAAGCCTGGTTCTGCTGTTCCGTGACCTCCAAACCCCGTTGGTCCCATTTCTGCATCGCAGGACACCCACACCTCACCAGCAGAGTAGGTACTGTGGTTAATCCGTATTCCAGACAGGAACACTAGTTCAGAGATGTTATCTGCCAAGGTCAGCTAGCCAGGATCTGAACTGCCATCTCTCTGGCTGCAAACCCTGAGCTCTGTCCCCCATGCCAGAATCATCAAGATAATGACTAGAACCCTGGAAGGTGACCTGCTGCAGTGACATCCCAGGGAGGAGAAGCCCCTATCTCTCGAGCTCTCTTTTTAGGTGAAGCAGGAAAAAAAAAAATCACTCTTCTAAATTTCACACTAGCACACATCTGGGTCCGGGAGCTCTGAGGAGGAGCAGAGGCTGGGCCTGCATGTGTTTGCATACTAATGAGGCAAGGACGCCAGTGGCTAATTAATGAGGGCCTGACCTGCCAGCTTCTGTCCAAGAATTTCTCTTTCAGGGAACCTTGAACTGATGCCTGGACCGAGGTACACAAAGGGCCTTTCAGGGCCTCCTTTGAATGGAGTATTCTGTTCCTACCACGGTTTTTTAAGCTGTGGGGGAAAAAACAGAAACTTGCAAGGACTAAGAAGTCCTGTTCCTGGGGGGTGGGCAGGCCAGTGCCCTGCACAGTCCTGGGCAGGCCCACCATAGTTGGCGAGCCGGCCGAAACCCTGGGCCTGGGCTGAGTCACCTTCCCAGCCCTCAAGGTAAATCATCACCCTTGGTTTCCAGCTGGAAATCCGGAAAGGAGACTCAGGTCATCGGGCATGGCTGTGGTTCAGATGCTCCAGGACGTACAGATCCCCATCTTTCATCGCCTTCAGGGGGCCAAAGAGGGCTCAGCTCAGAATTACTGGAGTGGGATTCCCAGTGGAAGCACAGGGTCTATGGTAGAAAATGTAGATCATTCATGTAAGTGCAAGGAGGGATGACAGAGAAAAACATAACACGAATCCCCGTTCGAGCAAGTGATAAGATACGCATCTACACTAATGATCATAGAAGTGCAAATTAAAACTACAGGCAGGTATCGTTTTATTTTTTATGGCTGTTCTATTACAGTTACCCCAGTTTCCCTCATTGCTCTCCCCTGCCCCCAGCACCCCCCTCCCACAGCCAGTACCCACACTGTTGTCCACATCCCGGGGTCATTCATACCTGTTGCTTGCCTAGACCCTTCCCCTTCTTTCCTCCCTTATCCCCCTCCCCCTCCCCTGCAGTCACTGTCGGTCTGTTCCATGTTTCCATGCCTCTGGTTCTGTTTTGCTTGTTTGTTTTGTTTTTCAACGTCTCTTAGATGGGCAGAGATCCCGGAATGAGCGGCATGCTGTTGGGGGAGGTTTCGGGGAAACACGTGTTCGGACAGGGCCAGTGACTTCGGGCCGTGGCAGCCTCCACAACACGGAAGGCGTGAGCGCTTTCGCGAGACAACATTGCTGCCGGGAAATGGCCCTCTGTGCGCTTGCGTGCACCGAGCGCACAGAACCAGGGGTGAGGTTCGTTGCGACCTTGCTTGTAAAGGGTTGGAAATCGCTGAGTGTTCTTGTCAAGGAATCGTGACCCACGGATGCAGTGGAACTCCAGGCAGCCTTAAAAACAGGAAGGAGCTCCACGTGGTCTGATAGGGAAGGACTGAGATGTGGCGTTAACCGAGAAAAGGCAGAGTGTAGAATGGTGTGTTTGGGAAAGTGCAGGGTGCCTGGGGGGAAGTGGGGAGAGGCTGCCTAGTCATACATGTTTGTACATGAGCAGAATACAAGGAGACATGAGAAACATGTGCCAGAGGTTACCTCTGAGAGGGGCTGGGGGGCTTGGGTCTGCTCAGCAGGGAGGGGGACATATGCTATACGCATGCATATGTATTTTAGTATTTCAGTTATTTTTGCCACATGCTTATATTTCTTTTACAAAAGAAAAGGAAGGAAGGAAGAGAGGGAGGGAAGAAGGGAGGAAGGAAGGAAGAGCGAGGGAGGGAGGGAGGGAGGAAGGGAAGAAAAACAAAAAGAAAATATAAAGGAAGAAAAGACCAAAACTTCATTATAGTCCTACCATCCAGAAATAAGCACAAATATGACTTTGGCTCATATCTTTCCATCATTTAAAAATTAATTTTAAACTTAAAAGTTGCAGGAGTAGTACAAAGAGCTCTCATATCCCCCATACACAGATGTGCGTTTGGTCGTATTGGCTTCGTCACTCTGCCGCTCCTCCTCTCTGTCTTCCCGTGTGTAGATGCGTGTGTTTGTACCGTATAGACATGTACAGACTTATATTTATATATTTTTTCTCTCTGGACCCTTTGAGAGTAAGTTGCCCCTTCATTAAATGCATTACTATGTATTTCCTGAAAACAAGAGTATTGATTTAAGTAGCCATAATACAATCAACAAGATCAAGAAATTGAACATTGAGAGGATGCTATTAGTCAGTCTACAGGCCTTATTTAAATTCCACCTCTGGTCTCACTAACATCCTTTACAGTAATTTTTTTTCTGTTCCAGGAGCCAATCCAGAACCATAGCGTTATGTTTAGTAGTCATGCTTTTTCATTCTCCTTCCATCTATCACAGTTCCTCCGCCAGTCATTTTGTAGAAGGGCCCTCAGGGTTTGCCTGATGTTTCCCTCTGAGTAGGTTCTGCACCTTCGATAGCGACACCTTAGCGGTGACCCAGGTGTTGGCTGGTAGCTCAAGTTGGCTGGAGCAACGTCCCAAGACACCAAGGTTGTGGGTTCTATCTCCGGTCAGGGTATATACAGGAATCAACTAATGAGTGTGTAAATAAGTAAAAAATGCCTGGCTGGTGTAGCTCAGTGGACTGAGCACGGGCCTGTGAACCAAAGGATCATGGTTCAATTCCCAAGAGCATATGACTGGGTTGCAGGCCAGTTCCCAGCAGGGGATGCATGAGAGGCAACCATATATTGACATTTCTCTCCCTCTCTCCTTTCCTCTAAAGATAAATAAACAAAATCTTAAAAAAAAAACCCTAAAAATGGACATTTCTTCCTCCCTCTCTCTTTAAAATTGGTGCATTAAAAAAAAAGTGGCCCTGAGTCCTCAGCGCGTCCCTCCAGGAGGTCCATGAGGTTGGCTTGTCCCATTATTGGTGACATACAAACATAATATTTTGATCACAAAAACCCAACTCTTAGATTATGTTAAACAAGCTGCTGTATAACTTTTAGGTGTTCATCATCATTATGAAAAATGTTTAGTTATACTTATGGATTTTTAAAGTGATAGTGGAATCACGTGGCTGAAAATTCAAAGGGAGCAAAGGGGAAGCCGTGGAGCCCCGCTCCCTCCTGGGGCCCACCACGCAACACCCCTGTCTCTGCAGCAGCAGCCTTTTCAGTCTTCTGTGTCTCCTTCCACCCAAATGTCAGGGGAGCACCTGCATCCGGTGCGAGGCCAGAGTGCGGTGACCATCTTATGACCCCAGGCACATCGCTGTTTTGGGAGGGTGGCCTCTGGACCCATCTGCTGCTACCTGGGGTCCCTTTGGAGGCTCCTGTGATCCTTCTGGAAACAACCAAAATCTCTGGACCCCAGTCTGGTGGATGAGGTGGGCCAGCCCTTTGGGGTCAGAAAACAAGCGCTGGCTTTCGAGGCATGCCATGAGATCTCGCTGGGGAAAAGAAATAGACTTCTACAGCATCATTCTCATCCTCATCAGAGGAAGCCTACTTCAGCCGTGTTTCAGGGAAGCCGAGCTGCAGGGGTCCGAAGTAAGGTGCAGGGGGCTAGGGGTTTGGGGGTTGCAGGGCTGAGTGGGGGTCTGGGAGCGCGAGGACCAGCCCAGACTCTGCTGCTAATCAGTTGACTGCGTGACCCTTGGCAGGTCACCTTCTCCTTCCAAGCTCCTTTCCCATCTGAAAAATGGGCACAATGCCACCCACCATGCGTGGTTGTTCTGAGGGATCAAGGAGCTACTCTAACAGGAAGCTCCTGCAATTAGCAGCTCAGGAAAGTAGCTTTCCCTTCCCACCCAGTGGGGAAGGTGAACCAGAGCCAGCAGGGGACCGTAGGGCCCTCCCAGGGCCTAAAACACACCTCTTTCAAAGCCTCACTGGGCAGACCCCCACCCCAACCCCCAGACTTGCTGAAAGGCACTGGTTTGATGATCATTTAATTTCCTTTGCTGTAGCTATCGCCAGTACTTCTAAAAAGCGGAAGACTGGCTTACCTTGGGATCAGCGAATGTCCCCATTCTTCTGAAACGTTAAACTGAAAGCAATGATTTCTTTGGTCCGGGGATTGCTTTCTGGGGGGTGTGGGATTCTAACACTGTGTGGGAGCTATGAGACTCAGGATTCATTCATTCATTCCATCTATTCAAGAAATATTTATTGAGGACCAGGTAGGTGCTTGGAAACATCAATAAACAAATATCCCTGCTCTAGTGGAATTCACATTCTCATGAAGGGACAGGAGGGAAAAAAAGAGCAAACAAGCAATCCATCCATCATACGGTTTGTTAGAAGGTGATAAATGCTATAGAAGAAAAGCGTGAGGAAGAGGGTTCAGAAGTTACTGGGGGTCGGGGACATGTGGCGTATACAATAGGACGGTCAGAGTAGGCTCCTTGGACAAGGCGCAGAGTCTCTCAAGAGCCCTGTGAAGAGTTCCCCACTTCCCAGATGGTGAAACTGAGGCAGAGATGTGCTAAGTGACTTGCTTGCCAAAAAAGGTCAGGGCCTCAATGCTAACCCAGACCGACTGGCTCGGGTCTGTGCATTTGACCACCTCATTATGTAAGAGCTGGGGAAACTGAGGCCCAGAGAAAGAAAAGGGAGTGGCCTAAGGTCATGGAGTGGAGGAAGCATGGGGTTCAACGTGCAGTTAGTGAATCCTGGGCTCATCAGGGAGAGAAGGGCTCAAGCAGGGGTCCCCCAGGGGAAAGGCTGTTAGATGATGCGCAGAGAAATGTTGCATCAGTAGTTTTAATGGACTGTAATGCACGTGAGAAGTAAATGCAACTCGCACACAGCACTTGTGACTTCACAAAGGCCCGTGCTTGGATGGAGAACGCTGAAGTGAGTCAAGGTCAGGAAAGACCGAGGGAACCGTCACATGGGCAGAATGCAGTTCAGGCGGAATCGGGGGAGAGTGGTTCCGCTGGGAAGAGGGGAGTTTGGGCAGCTCTGCCCCCAGACAGTAGCGTCCTTTGGGGACTAAGACAGAACTGTTTGGACCGTGTGGAATCTCAGCGTCTTTGCTCAAGGCTCCTCTGCCCAGCACCTCCTACCCTGCTCTGACATCTCTCTCTGCCCCCCCAGCCCTCTCTGCCTCGCTGCCTGCAACTGTGGGAACCAGGCCTTTTTATGGGCAACCTCATCCTTGAAGTGTCTGGGCTTGTTAATGGACTGCCTTTCACACCAGGCGGCCTGGAGATCCCAGACATTCCTGAGGGGAGAGGGCCGCGGGATCAGCACCGGGCACACCTCGGCGGGCTCTGAGTCCCAGGCCAGCCCTGGTTTCACCCCTTAAATGCATCTCTGGGAGCCTTGATTTTTTCCATCTATGAAACAGGAGTGATACTGGGGTTGTTGGGGAGACTCAGCCTGCGAAGAGGCTGGTGAGGGGCAGCCACTCCCTAAATGCTGTTTCCCTTCACACTCTGACGTCACCCCTTCCACATTCCTTCATCCCTCACCATCCCTCCTGCACCCTCCAGAATGGTCAGTGTGTTTTCTCTTTGAATAGGGCCTGGCATCCGGGTTGACTGTGCCCTGTTGTGGATGTTAACTCCTTGAGATTAGGGCTCATCTCTAAGGCATTATCAGCTCTCTCCTGGGGGCAAGCCCAGGGCCTGACACGAAGCTCGGTAAATGTCCGTGTGCCCGAGAGGCAGCACAGTGGCCCGGTTAACAAGAACGAGGGCCCGGAGCCCCGCTCTGTGGGTGAAGTCCAGTCATGTCGTTCATTAGCTCGGTGATCTTAGGCACGTGACTTACCCTGCCTGGGAAGTCCTGACCTGTAGAATGGGAACAATTAATAAAGGCACCGACATCACAGGTTGTCGTGAGTATTAAATAAATTAATGCGCTTAGGACAGGGGCCCCCACCAGGAAGGAGCTTTCCGGCTGTTGGCTGTTTATTATACCAGCTTCCGGCAAAGGACCTTTTCCCCAGGGTGGCTTCCATGGTGTTTGTTGAGCTGAACCGATGAGGCTACA